TAAATTAATAAAAAAGGTACAGTAAAGTTTTCCTGAAACTTACACAGTCATATTCTTTTTAAATAGGCATGCATTTACATGGAGAACACCCTGACTTTTGTCATCATTCCTTTTCTATGCAATAAATGGGATAATTAGCTGTTGGGTGAAATTTCCCAGCATGCAGGAAAGCCTTTGGTACTGAATAAGTGCCCAAAGATACCTCGACTATCTTCAACCCTGTTTTATGCTCATCAGGCGTTGAATGTCTATGGGCACTTATAGACAAAGAGCACACATACCAGACAGGAACAAAGAAAAACATTAGCACTGGATGTAGGAAGCAAAGTAGTAAGAGAAGGAATCAGAAATGGAAAAAAAAAAAATCAAAAAAGGTAATTGGAAAAAAAAAAAGAAGAAGGCTGAGCATATGTGACGGGAGCTGCATGCAGAGAGGAAAAAGAAAACTCATAAAAAGGATAATTAACTGCTGAAGAGCAGACAGACAGCAATAAAATATAGCCGGGTGACCAGCTGCCTAACATGGGTAGATGAAGGACAAATTAATGGCACACTAGTCAAAAGGTAAGCATGACTCTTAATTGCATTGTTAAAATCTCTAGATTAGACTCCGAATATAATCCCACAACTGCAGCTCTTGGCCCAGTTCCTGCAGCAAGCTGTATGGTCCATATTCTACTAGAGTCACAAGACAGCCCATAAATATCATCTAGCCAGAGATGATGAAGGCAGATCCTAAACAGAGAGGCGAACGTCTGCCCTAAATTTTCCAGCTGTTCATATGTAAGGCAATTCTCAATACTATTTATGCTAGAAGTATACGTACCCTAAATTTACTTGTTTTCTGTGTACCCATCTGCACTGCCCTCAGCCCCCCTACCAACACTCTGTAAGCCACCTTTAAAAGTATTTCTTGGTAACAATTAAATAATAATAAAACCATTCAGCACATGCACATTTCCCCATGCTGTATCCCTTTCAAAACAATATGCAAGTTACAGCATAAATACCCATTATACGTCCAGAAATCCACTATGACTCCAACCTCCCGTTTGTATTGACAGCACAATGCCTATATAGAACACCACCCCCTTATCTCCATAACATAGGAGTGAGGTGTTCTGTAGTCCAGAAGGTAAAACTGAGGAAGGGGTAATAACACTGCTTAGGGTTTCCATGCAGCAGTGGCAATGTTGTTAGGAGCTCATTGGATTTCTGGCAGGATTAACTGGTAATCTTCTGTACTTGCAAAGTTTCTACAGAGACAACGTATGTGGCGGTTTCGCAAAGATATAAATAAAATTTCCTTGTCTAGACATACACTTTAAGGGCTAGTACACACCATCCTCAGTGGGTTCCGGCCCAATTTTGGTAGGAACGAATTGGATCGCATTCCGGCCAACTCACTTTTGTTTTGGGCGGGTGGGGGGCCTGGTGGTGCGTTGAACTCATTGGTACCGCAGCCACGCCCTCCGGCCGCAAACGAACATGTGGCACATCAGTGCCTGCGTTCCGGTCCAGTCAGAAAAAAACATTTTTGTGCACCACTTTTTCTGACTGCACCGGAACGCATGCACTGATGTGCCACGTGTTCCTGTGCGGCCGATCGCATTGCGGCCGGAGAGCGTAGCTGCCCGCCACTTGAGTTCAACGTACCACCACGCCACATCCCGCACCAAAACAAGGTAAGCCGGCCGGAATGCGATCCAGTGCGGAACGCACTGAGGATGCTGTGAACTAACCCTAAAAGGTATTCTCGACCAAAACAAGAACAATTTCCCATTTATATATTTTCTTCTTTGAACTCAGATCCTCTAGTTACTTTAACAAGTCAAATTTTAAAGACTGCCCTCTGTGGAAACAGCAGTGTCACTTGCTGATCTCAGAATAGAAGATTGTACTACATGCTCGGCCTTTTAGTTCTCAGAGTGGGACTTTGACCAGTGTTTTCTAGCTGCAGCCAACTAGTCATAACTCTGCCACTTTAAGATTAGCACTTAATAGCCAAGTGTATGGCCCTTTATCAGTCTTATTCTGCCGGTTTGTCCCCTAGCCACATGAAAATTTGGGGAACCACCTGCAAAGTAGGGATCAGAGTGACCACCTGCATTTGCAGTTCAATAGTTATGAAAATTCTTACTGTAATGTATACTTGTTCACAAAGTGCCAATCAGAGCAGGAGGGCATTATAGAAGGAGACAAGGCAGTGAATGAGTAGGGCTCTGGGCCCCAGCTGGGAATTGGAGCTGAACATGCTGGTGCGCTGTGTCATCTTGTAGTTTTGATCAGGAGCGTACTTCATAAAAGGTGACAAACACTGCTCCTAATTTGGGAACTTGGAAGAAAGTGTTGTCGCCCTTTGGCAAGAAGGATATTCGTGGAAGGATCACCAGATAAAATATTAAAACAATATAAGATGCAATTAGTAAATAATAAATATATATATATATATATATATATATATATATACACATACATACACATACACACACACACACACACACTTGTACAGATTATACATATTTTAAATTCCCCTTTATAGGACCCCAAAACTCAATCCCTAAGGCAAAGATTAAGCCAATTTTTGCTTTTTTTTTTAAAGCTGACCTTTAAAAATGTATATATACCCTTACACTGGTCCAGCTTGGCACAGTGTAAGTATATATAAATGATCCCTGGCAGGTGTAGAACAGTATCTTCTGGGCCCAGAAACAGCCGCTGTGTCGTGCGGCTTCCCCTGTGCTGTTATAACACAGCCGGTCGCTCTCTCAGCACAGTGGACATTCAGAGAGCACCTATTATGTCTCTCAGTGAATACTAGGCATTCTCTGATTGGACGTAGGGCAGTGCTGTGACATCACCACAATCCCTGTGGCCCTGCCAGGGATTATTTATATATATTTGCATTATGCCAAACTGGGCCAATGTGTATACATACATTTTTAAAGCTGGAGTTCACTTTTAATATTTAGATAGAGAAGGGAAGGGTTTAAACCCCTATCAAGTTCTTTTGTTGTTGTCTCTCACTGGAGGAATGTCATGGAAATTGAACAGGAATCGAAATAAAATCTATCCAAACTGGACAGAATTCTCATACTAGAAAGTTGTGAAAAGAACATTTGTCCAATTGGAGAATTTTTCCCTCACTTTTTGCTCTGATGTGAACTCAAAATGTATACATTGTACCACGTTATGTCTTGGTAAGAAAGTTAAAGAAGAAGCGACACAAAGAACAATAAACACTTGATAAAGGGTCTAACCCGTCCCTACTTTTAAATAAGTCCCTCCAAACATGTCTTTTAAAATAGCCACCTTATCAGTTTAAACTAATCACTAAGGATGTACTGATACCGATACTAGTGCCAATACTGAGTATTTGGACTAGGACCCGTACTCGCCCAAATACTCCGGTACTTACCTCTGGAACATCTGGTCAGAGGGAGATCTCCTTCTGACCGGCAGTGTCGAGAGAGCATGGAGCCGGCTTCCTTTCCAATCAGGAAGCCGGGTGGCTGGTTATGACCTAGGAAGCCGGCTTCACTTGTTGCTAGGCAGCCTGGTTTCCTAACCAATTAGGAAGCCGGGCGGCACGTCATGACCTGCCTCCCTGATTGGTCGGGAAGCCAGGCTGCCTATCAACAAGTGAAGCCAGCTTCTTAGCCAATCAGGAAGCTGGGAGGCAGGTCATGATGGGCCATCCGGCTTCCTGATTGGCTAAGAAGCCGGCTTCACTTGTTGCTAGGAAGCCTGGCTTTCTTATCAATCAGGAAGCCAGGTTTTTTTTAGCAACAAGTGAAGCCGGCTTCTTAGCCAATCAGGAAGCCGGATGGCCCATCACGACCTCAGTGCCTCCCACACGGCTTCCTGATTGGTCAGGAAGCCAGGCAGCCTTGGAAAGTGAAGCCGATGTTCTTTCGATAGAACACCGTCTTCCCAGGCAATCAGGAGGCCGGGCGATGCGTCATGATCCGCCACCCAGCTTCCTGATAATCAAGGCACATGGTACTGGTGATCGGTATAGGAGAGTACTGGAGAAAAAAATATCGGTCCTAGTACGCGATACTGAAAAAACGTTATCGGTGCATCCCTACTAAACACCCTGACCTTAGAGCTTATACATATGAGCTTCAGTATATAAAAAAGCAATGTGCGCAACAAGCTTTTATAAAGTATTTTCAAATCTTTCAGCAAACTTCAAGCAGCAAAAAAAAAAAACCCCTCTGTTTACTTAGCCAATGCTGCGGTCACATGACACTCAGGTCTCAGTCTTCTCTTTATCGTTTGTTTACTTGACCCCTGCTGGGTCCTTCTTTGCGTGCCCAGGTCACTGCCTGTGAGACGTGGGCCCTCCCTATTAGTTGTCCAGAGGTGGGGTCCATTCAGGATCCAGAAGAGGAGTGAAGTCAAGCAAGGAGACAGTAGGGGACTGGTGATCTTGGGCACATCTGCGGTGCTGGATTCCCTGCAACCAGAAAGACCATTGCCAAGGGACCCAGACAGGGAATTTAGGGGAGTATAAAGTACTTCAACAGGTAAGGGAGGGGGGTTTAGGGGGAGGAAGTAGTGTGAGGGGGGGACAGAATTATCCCAGAATGGGGTTTTAAAGGCTACGTTTATCTTTCTGACCATGTTCACATCGCAACATACCACTATTTACCCGACTCCCTGGGTTTTTCTTCCCACAGACTTGTGTATTTTTTTTTTTCATCTGGTGCTGCTGTTTGGCTCCTCCCACACAGCTGTGGCTGTGTGTGGCTCCTCCCACACAGCAGCACTATCCATTTACAGGTTCCTTGGCAGGATTGAAGAATGGAAACACTGCAGCAGACAGACTTGTAGTTCCCTATGGAATACAATTGCAGCGACGTCCATGTTCCTGAATGTCCATACCTTAATACGGACATGGATGGGAGGAAAAAGGATGGGAGGACATGGATACAGGAGCCAGAGCATTTCGCCTGTGTACCTTCCCCAAACTGAAGCTGAAGGGTGCCCTAAAGTACCCCCTTTCACTAAAAATCACCTCAGCATGCAGCTCTGCATGCTGGTATAAAATCATCTTACATTCATTAGTTAAACAACAACATATTTTTTCTTTTTACTTACAATTTCTTTTTTTTTTTCTACTGCCTGGTCCACTTTGGCACAAATTATGTAATCGTGCCCGAGCATTGCATCCTGGGAAGATTACATCAGCAGAGCAATGCTGGGAAATCTCATCTGTAATCTCAGGAGATCTCAGGGAAAGGCATTTTCCTCCCCTGAGATGATGTGCATGGTCACATGTCCTAGACACAGGTTCCAGTAAGTAAAGGGAGATAGATGTATCTGCCCTTAGTTAAAATGGCCGTTGAAAGAAGACTGGGGAAGTAAGAAAAATAAGGTATGCAAAGAATACAAAGCCGGCAATTATCTAGAAGTATGTGTTTGTAGATTGTCATTACTAAACATTTCTAAAGGTGTCTGTGTTGTTATTTTAAAAATATGGTTAAATTTCCTGTTTAAAGGTTTCACAGAAGCTGCGTTAAACTGACTTAAAAGATTACAAAATAGGGATGCTCCGATACCGGAACTTCAGGTCAGAGGGAGAGCTCCCTCTGACCGCCGGTGCCGAGAGAGCATGGAGCCGGCTTCCTTTCCAATCAGCACCTTATGACCTGCTGCCCGGCTTCCTGATTGGTCAGGAAGTCAGGCAGCCTTGGGAAGTGAAGCCGGTGTTCTTTTGATAGAACACCGGCTTCCCAGGCAATCAGGAAGCCAGGCGGCGGGTCATGATCCACCGCCAGGTTCCTGATAATCGGGGCACACGGCACCGGTGAGTACCGAAAATAAAATATCGGTACTCGATAACGTAAAAACAGTATCGGTGCATCCAGAGGCGTATCTACCGCAAGGCAAACTAGGCATTTGCCTTGGGCAGCACTTTCCAGGGGACAACAAAAAAGTGAGGCTATCCTGAATTACTCAAATCCACTGACGAGCCCAGCCTCCTCTCTCTGGCAGAAGTGATACAGCGCGGGCCTGTTACTATTTAAACAGGCGCTCGCCGTATCCAGCTTCTGACAGGATAAGCAAAATGCGCTGCGGGCTTCCATGCTATGCTAACAGCACAACCTATCAGAAGCTGGCTACAACGTGCGCACTGTATCCATCGACTGACAGATTACGCATAATGTCTTAAACAGGAAGGGGTGGCGCAAATGTAGATTAGGGGGGGATGCCCAAGTTTAGTCTTGCCTAGGGCAGGACAAAATCAAAATACACTACTGGGTGCATCCGTAGTTACAAATGCTTGGTAAAAGCTTGCTGCACATACTGTTTTAACACAAATTTAGGCCTATACATTCAAGGCCTAACAGTCACATAATTAAAATATACCCCTAATAGGTGATGGTTACCAAACATTCATTGCAGGTGAATCTTTCAGGTGCATGTGTTTTAAATTACAGCGATTGATTCACTCCTGTGAATGTTTGGTAAAAGGCGTATTCACTTCTTTATAAAGCCCAAGTGAACCCTCACAGTCCATTACTACAATGCAGTCAGGATGCTAATATATATATATATATTTTTTTTTATTATTGCTGGGCCACTACTAAGGAGACAATTTATAAAGGGTTTGCTATTTTATAAAGGCTGGGCAAGCGCCATTTGCACGTCATAGGTGCCACTAGATGGAGCCAAGGAGCATAGCAAATATAGTGACAATAATGCTATGCGAACAGCTCTTATCAAGGTGCCAACATATAAACGGTTCACCCAGCGTATAGGTGGGCAAGCGCCATTTGCATGTCATAGGTGCCACTAGATGGAGCCAAGGAGCATAGCAAATATAGTGACAATAATGCTATGCGAACAGCTCTTATCAAGGTGCCAACATATAAACGGTTCACCCAGCGTATAGGTGGGCAAGCTCCATTTGAATGCCATTGCTGCCTCCAGATGGAGCCAAGGAGCATAGTAAATCTAGTGGCAGTAATGCCATGCGAACAGCTCTTACTAAGGGGCCAATTTATAAAGGGTTTGCCCAGCGTATAGCTGGTGAACCTTTTTAAAAAAAATCACGTCCCTAGTGAGAGCCAATGTCCAACTAGCCTACATGATGCCAGGTAAAAGAGCCCCAGATGTATTACTGTATATGCAGCTATACTGGATTACAGTAATAGGGTTCAATTTGGCTTTAGAGAACCACATGTGCAATATACTTACCCTTACAGCCCACTCCATGAACAGCACCAATCACCCAGCACTAAAAAAATACTGATCTAGTGAAAGAGTTTAAATCATCTACGCAAAACCAGAAAGGGCCAACGAGGCCTGTATATGTCACATTAGACCTCCCTGGCTCGTACCCTAGACGCAGCCCTAGAATCCCAACTCTACCCATCCTAAAACCTTGGAGGCAGCAGATATCTTACAATCCACCTCCATTTTAGTTTGTTCATCTCATCAGCCCAAGTCTAGAAACACATTCACAAAATAATGTAGTCACACCCCAGATCCACCCACTGAAGCCTCATATTGCCTAGAAAGAGACTGCAGAAGGCTTCTGAAAGCCCTTCTTAATCTGGCCCTAAGAGATCCCCCAAAAATAAAATATAAAAAACTTGAACACTGGTGACCTTAGTAGACCTTCTCGCTTTCCCAAAATGCCGATAGCTTGTCTGTTACCCCACCAGACATTTCCAAGGAAGCCTGCACATCCGACACCTAAATGCTTACCCCTTGGTGCTTCATCCTCGCTGAACTCCTCTTCCGAATGGCTGTCGGATTTGGTCCTCTTGCGAGGATTGCTGGTGGAGGAGCCCAGAGGTTTTTCCACAACTGGTGGCATTCCTTACTCCTTCAGCACTTCCTGAAAGAAAACTAACACAAACATACACAAAACTCAAACACACACCTACGCAAAGAGCACATCAAATGGTAAAAAGGTAAATAAATCTATGGAAGCAACCGTTTAATACCCAGATACAGAGATCAGAAAACTAAATCATCAGAAAACCACTGCCCCCTTTCCAGATAAGACTACCGGTACTGCGGTCCATTTAAAAAGTGTACTGGGATACCAGGAGCACTGGGTGCAATGTTAACAAACACGATAAAAAGATCTGATGGAATAATGAGGCAAAGTTGTTGGAGAAAGGCTTGATTTAAAAAAAAAAAAAAAAGAAATAAATGAAATGATAAAAATAGAAAAACGGAGATGAGAATAGAATGGGAAAGAAGGTAGGAAGGAAAAGGCATGGAGCATATGAGTTTTAATTAGCACAATGAGAGCAAGTGACAGTGTTAGGAATAAAGGGATGTGAGTTCCAGGACTTGGAAGGCTGGAGCATAGAAATAGATGTACCTGGAGTTGTGGCTTTGTGTAATAGGTGCAAAGTTGTCAGAGTGAATGTATCCCTTGGAAGGTGGCACTGGGCATGAGATGAATGAACGGAGATACAAAGTATAAGAGCAGATGGAAGTCCAGCGGTTACCGGCGCAGTTCAATCACAATGAGAGCTCAGCCACACACAGGCAGCCTGCTCGGGAATGTAGATCCGGCAGAGTCTCCTCACACCCCCGGACGCATCCCTCCGCCGCCTAGACTGCTCTCTTTCTCTATAGAGTGTACAGCTGCCGGCATCACCCAATGTGACCCCCCCTTCTCCAAACCCCCTCTACTACCCTCCCCCCGCCGGCATATCGCCCCTCCCCCCCATTCCTTCTTCTACCTACCCCCCTCCCTTCCCAAACCTACTTACCTACTCTACCAGCGCCAACATTGCCTTCCAATACCTCCATAAACTCAGCGCTCACTATTGCTCACCAATTGGAATGCTTTTCCAATAGAAGATTGGGCATTGTTAAAGTTTACCCCCATAAAGACTTAATTTCAGTTATGATCCAGGACTCTCGCTCAGTGTCTCAAGGACCATATATGATAACTTGTCCTGGTTGGCTCATACCCTTTTAGTAATCGCACTCCTGTATGTTCCAATCGGGCGCCGCTCATAGATTTGCTCATCGGCTTCCCCTCCCCCCACTTTCCTCGTGCTCCCGACCGGGTGTCTGTACGTGTGTGCATGTGCCCAGGGATCCACTCCATGACCAATCTATACTTACCGTCCAATGTATATATTCCTCAGTTATAACCTCCTTGTCTGATGTCTTTCCTTATCACCAGGCTCCTTTCTTCTGGCAGGGAAGGGCTCTACACTACACACACATAGTCCATGGGAACTATTTGATGAAGAGGAGACATTAACCCTTGGTGGCAGTGTACTAGCGCCACTGCAGGCCAGATGTCCTGAGATCAGGGGGGCAGCTCCGGCAGACCTTCTATACACATTTATATATTATTGTGCACACACATAAACCTCAGGTATCAATGATACTGTGATAGGGCAGAGTCAGGAGCGGTCTCCCATAGCAACAGCCGGGAACTGGTCCAGAAGTAATCTGGGGCGATCATCAGACATCTCATTGTCTGCCATGGCTTCCTGCGATCACTATACAACCATGACTCCATTTCCCGATCGTATGACACACACAGCCGCCTATAGATCGGATGTTCCATGTGTTCCATCATGGAAGACTACAGGAACACGTGATCCGCGGAGACATCGCGCTGCAGAGTAAATAGAGGCATATGTGGTCATCTGCAGGAAATAAACGTGTGTGTGGTGACGGGGGCAAATGGCTGCGGAGTTTATAAAGGTGTATAGGAGGATGGGGGCACTTAGCTGCAGACTGAGGAAGGTTATATGACTACAGAATACATTCATATCATCATAGGGTCACTATGCCGAATAAGGGGGCGAAGTAAGGTCACATGAGATGATGGGGGCATTTAGCTGCAGAGCATATAAGGGCTCATGAGACGATGGGGGCATTTGGCTGCAGAGTATTTCAAGACACATGATGAGACGATGGGGGCATTTGGCTGAAGAGTATATCAAGACACATGAGACCATGGGGGCATTTGGCTGAAGAGTATATCAAGACACATGAGACCATGGGGGCATTTGGCTGCAGAGTA